TTTTTTTTTTTTTTTTGAGACAGAATCTCACTTCACTGCTCTGGTTAGAGGGTAGTAGCATCATCCTAGTTCACTGCAACCTCAGACTCCTGGGCTCAGGTGGTCATCCTCCTGCCTTTCAGGCAGCTTGGACTGCAGGTGCATGCCACCTCGCTCAACTAATGTTTTCTGTTTTTGGTAGAGACAGAGTCTTTATATTGTGTCCAGAATGGTCTTAAACTCCTGGCCTCAAGCAATCCTGCTGCCTCTGCCTCCCAGAGTGCTAGGATTACAGATGTGAGCTACCACATTTGTCCTTATTTTTCTTTAGATGTGGTTTTAGTTTAGTATTTTTAACGTTTATCATTATTTTATTTTTTATTTTTTTTGACTACCTATAGAGTTCAGTGATCTCAAAGCTCATAGCAACCTCAGACTCTTGGACTAAAGCAATCCTCTTGCCTGCTTCAGCCAGCCTCCTAAGCAGCTGGGACTACAAGCACCCATCCCAATGCTCAGCTATTTATTTGTTGTTGTTGTTGTTGTTGCAGTTGTTGTTTTAGCAGGCTTGGGCCAGGTCGAACCCACCAGCCTTGGGATATGTGGCCAGCGCCCTACCCACTGAGCTATGGGTGCCACCAATGCCCAGCTGTTTTTTAGAGACAAGGTCTTGCTCTCAGGCTGGTCTCGAACCTGTGAACTCAGGCAAACCACCTGCCTCAGCTTCCCAGAGTGCTAGGATTACAGGTATGAGCCACTGCACCCCGCCCTCTCTTTACTTTTGTGAATGCTACGAGGTAGAGATTAACTTTCTGTGTATATGCATGCCATATCACTCTTACTATTTAAATCAACTTTATTTACATATACAAAATGAACCTGTATTTTATGTATAGTTTGGGTTTTGATAGATTTATGTACCTGTGTTATGACCATCCTAATCACGAATTAGAACACTTTTATCAACCTCCAGTTTTTTTGTTGTTTTGACCTACCTCACCTCCATTACTGTGCTCATGCAGTTACTGATATGTTTTATGTTACTATAGATAAGTTTTCCTTTTACTAGAATTTTATATAAATGGAATATCCATTCATCATGTACTGTCTTTTGTATGTTTACCTTCTTTTGTTCAGCATATGCTTCTGGAATTCTTCTGTATTATTGAATGTATTAATTGTTTTTCTTTTTATTCCCAATTAGTATTGTACTATATAGAAATATCAAAGTTTGTTTATCCACTCAACCCTTTGTTGAACCTTTGGATTGTTTCTAGATTTAGCTGTTAAGAAAAAAGCATCTATAGGGCGGTGCCTGTGGCTTAAAGGAGTAGGGCCCTGGCCCCATACACCAAAGGTGGTGGGTTCAAACCTGGCCCCAGCCAAAAACTGCAAAAAAAAGAAGGATCTATAAACATTTATGTCAATGTGTGGACTTTTTTTTTAGGAGACAGAATCTCACTGTGTCACCCTCAGTAAAGTGCCATGGCATCACAGCTCACAGCAACCTCAAACTCTTGGGCCTCAGCAATGCTCTTGCCTCAGCCTCCCAAGTAGCTGGGACTACGGGCACCCGCCACAATGCTTGGCTGTTTTTTTGGTTGTAGTTGTCATTGTTGTTTGGCAGACTCCTGGCTAGATTTGAACCTGCCAGCTCGGGTATGTTGCTGGCGCCCTAGCCACTGAGCTAT